ATTACCCCAGAAGTATCTTGGTTTTTCTCACATAGTTGAAAGATGGCAGTAATGATGGGAAAAATACTCGGTGCTTTTTTATATGTGGGATTACTTAAAATCTTGCCTGCTGCTACTTTGTTGAACAAAAAGGAATTTTCCAGCCATGGCTTACTTATTCCTAGTTTCCTTAAGTGTCGCTGCCTATTTATGACAGGACTATGTTAAATGTATGTTGAGCTTTTTAAGCACAGGTGAATGTGCCTGTGACTGCAGTGAGTTCTCTGTACAGAGGATTTCAGAACGTCTGGAACTCATTTAAGCACATATGTGTCAGCACCTTTAAAGATTCATTTTGGATAGCAAATCATTTACCCTTATGGCTGGTATTTCCTGGGTAACAATGCAATAAACTTGATAAAAAATTACTCACTCCCAACCTATTGCAGGAGAGACTAAAATAGGTGATGGAAAGAAGAGAGAGCAGGGGTTGATATTCATTTTATCACCTGGATTTGTCCATGACAGTGGTCAAGCTGGGAAGAAGGGACGTCCCAAGAGTGGTCAACTCCATGAGTGATAAGGGGAGTCGAGAGCAATAGACTGCTAGATAAATCAGACAGAGAGAAAGGAGATGGGGAAGCGAACAGGCTTCATCAGGGTGGGAAGCCTGTAATGGTACTTACAGAGTAAATGAGCCTTTGACAGAGTGTGCCGAGGCAGAGGGAGCGTGATGGTTCTGCAGTGCCCCGTGGTGCCTGTAGGCAGTGATACACAGCACATTGGGCTACACCTGCAGCAGGAGTTCTTTCCTGCCATAAAAAGAAGTAATGAAAGAAGTTTAAGGAGAAGTGAGGAGTCCTGGAATGCAAAGGGAAGAAGAAAAGAATTCTCTGGGTTCAGAGGGGTGTGCCCCAGCTCCATCTGCCCTTGTATAGGTGATGTAACTAGCTTGATGTGTTTGGTTTTTTGTAAACTTGCCAACAGCTGAGGAATCAGCAGTGGGACAGGCTCCAAGGGGGAGTGGTGCTTCATTCACTTTGTTAGAAGACTTGGTGGACCCCAAGTGTTGGCAAGAGGGAAGAAGCAGGTCTTGTGGAAGATCTAACAAACTTTGTGTGTGTTTTGGCCTTGGGACGTGATGTGTGCAGGGATATTCCATCAGCACTAAGTAGCTCACACATAGCTTTGCTCATTGATGCTATTCAGAAAGAGCTGTGTGCATTCTTGCTCAGCGAGGCTTGAAAGGACAGTGGATTTTGTTTGCATGTGTTGGGCAGGAGAGAATTCTGCAAAGGAAAAGGCTGCCTTTGACAGCAATGGATATGGATTGTTTTCTTTCCAGATAGTTAACTGTTGGTGTCACGAGGTGCACTGCTGTTATGAGACTTCTCCAACTGTTTTACCAGCTCAGATGAAAAAGATCCTTTCACAGGGCTTTCAGTGTTCCTTATTTGCACTGATGTGGCACCTGCAAATCAAGATGACATGAGCCCATCTCCTAAACACAAGATAGCAGTCATTGCACTGTGTACACTGTTTTGGCTACCAGTTGCAAAGTGGTATGGTTGTTACTGAGAGCTATTTCTAGAGGGTTTGAGCAGCTTTCACATTAGAGTCTACTGTAGTAGGGCAACTTTATTGTTTGTGTGTGGATAATAGTGATAGATTCCTCTGAAGTCCCTCACAGACTCGTTCTAATTGCACAATCAAGGATCCACATTTTACTTTGCTCTCTTCCTCCTTCAAAGCTGTAGTATGTCCTCTTCTCTGTCCATCCATGTCTGTAATAGAGCTTCTGTATGCAGAAGAGGTTGGACTCCCCAGCATAGACTGATATCCTGGAAGAAGTTGACAAGCAATTTCCATGCAGACAAAAGGCTGTTTTTAGTGTGTGACAGCCCACCTCTCCACAGTGATGACAGTGATGACACAATGTTGACTACTCTTACAAGGGTTCAAGCTTTTATTTTCCACCTTCCCATACCCTCAGAAAGTAATGTTGCCAAGACCTCTACAGAGAGAAAAGAGTACCTAGCTCATAAAAGCTGGGAGTTCTTCTGAAGCACAGAGAGATGATCAGCTTTTCATTTTAAAATTGGACACTGTCTGACAAAATCATAGAAAGTAGCAACCTAATGCAGAAAAAATAAAAGTTGTTAGTGTGGTAATGAGCAGTATAAAACTTAAGAGATGGATATGGTTACCTTACTAAGTTTATTCTGTGTTTGTCTACATTCCTCTTCAAAAACATACAGTGATGGAAACTCCCTGATTCTTCTGGTAGTCTGGTGTACTGTTTCCCTGTTTTACTGCTAGAAAGCTTGGCCTGACACCTAAATCTTCCTTGGTCCAGCTGATGGTTATTCTTCCTTTACATATTTGAATGAACTGTCTTTTCTCTGTTCCCTGTGCTCAGGTCTTTGAGAGTTGTACCTAAAACCCCTGTCAAATCTTCTGCTAAGGTGGTGCAGCAAGGTGCTTCTTTGCTCATGAGGTGTCAGGTGCTAGACTGATTTCCAAAGTTACCATTCCTTTCATTGTCTCTGTTCAGGACACTTATCAGTGGATGGGTCAGCATTTCAAATCTTCACAAGTGTGAGCCCTTCACTTAGGTCTTCTGTTCAAAGTGCCCGTATTCTTCAGGCTTGATCTCAACAGCTTTATTTGGTGTTACATACCCAATTTGGTGACCATCAGTGAGGAGTGAAGGGCAGGGAGTTTGGAATGAATATCGTCAGGGAAAGCACACAACCAGCCAGGTGTTTGCTCTCCAGCATTAGCAGTAAGTCCTCGTCACAATCTTGACGCATGCACTGAAATACGTTCTTGTTATTCCTGTTTTTGCCTCATTTTGCCAACATTGGTATAGCAAAAGGATGTTTCACTCTTTCAGTGAAAATACAGGACCTTTCCCATGCAGGTTTTCTCTTCCTACCCTTTGAGTGACAACTTCTGGAGTAGCCTGGGACTTTCCCGCATGGGTGACACAGACTTCCCTCCCTGCTGATCCCTTTCCTTCAGGTTTCTCCATTGATCCTCTAGGACCTGCTTGGAAGCACAAAGTGGAGGAAACAGTGTGTCTTCTGCTCAGCTGTTGCCAGAACCACTGATGTTAGAGGTTGAATGCAGGTCTTGGACCAGCTGCTGCATTTGTTTGGACCAGTTGTAAAAAACTTCAGTGTGTTTGATTAGCAGAGCTTTTCATTATGGTTTTTGTGTCAGGGTTTGATGCAGCCTTTTTGGACTTTGTGAAGGTTTAGAGAGGATTTTATTTTCCTGACTTTATCTATTCTGGGAAGACAATATTAAATGAGAGGCAGGAGGAACAGTCAGGAATAGTTTGCAGTAACCTGCTTTGCTACTCAGGAGGTGCCTGAATCATGTTGTGCCTTTTTATGCTCAGTTATCATTCATTGCTGTAGGCTAGAAGAGAAGTGACAAATTTATGGATAGCTGGTGGCAAACTATTATCTGTCTTAGAGAAGGGAGGGTTTGCAGCCCATGCTGTAATGGTAAAATGCTGCTTGAAGATCCTGCTGTGGGAGCTTCCAAGTACTCAGCTGAAGGAGCAGAGTTATGGCACAGGAAGATTATGGGATGCATGTTCACCCCAGCAACCCCCCCACTGAGCTTGTACACTTGTCAACTCTCCTCTGCTCACCAGTATAGCATCTGTACTGTCTCTGCCCAGTGCTACATCTGCTGAGCAGCATGAGAACAGATGATCTACCCATAGCTATTGCTCCAGACTCAGACTGTAACATCTTGTCCGACTAGAGGCTGCCCTATGCAGTGTTGAATTTATATGGAAGCACCTGGCTGGCCTTCTTCAGCTTCTGGTGAGGTGACTGGGCTTGGGGCATCTGCCCTTTCCCTACAGTCACCATGCAAATAGCGGAGACATCCTGCCTGTGTGAACTACCTCCATCACAAGACAGCAGCCTTAAAAGTATGATGCTTTCCAATGTGCTCCCCATGCTCTGCTGTTAGAGATGTCCAAAATATTGTATAGCCTCAGGCAACTGGGGTCCACCAGCTCAGATACCACGGTGTAGATTTGGATGCAACTGGGCATCTCACACACAATCCATCTCCCTGATTTCCCAGGCCTTGCTGCATATGGATCATCCCAAAGCCCCAAATTTACAGTAAAACAGCCCAGGTGCCAGTGAAAACTGCTACAAACAGGTGAGAGGGATTAACACACAGCCTGATGTCTAGTCCCATCTTTCTTAATTTCGCCCGTTCTTTAGTTCGTGGTGGTTTTTTCCCTGTCGTTCCACATCTGCGGTCTAACAACTCCACTTAGACACGGAGGCTTGCGATACTGTTTCTCCCGGCAGCGGCTCAGCTAATTCTCTTTAGCCGCCGCTGAAGCGCCCATTATTTTGAGGGGAAAATAACAACAACAGTAGTCATTAACTCTAGTACCAATATTTTCTAAATTTTTAACTTGTACTGTAACCGGAGCTGTCCCCCCCGAGCGCGGCGGGCGGCAGCGGGTTCCCCGCCCTCAGGGTCCGCAGCGCCCCGGGCCGGGCGGGGCCGCGGGGCCCGCCGGGGGCGGGGCAGAGGCGCGGGCGCGGCCGTGATTGGCCGCCCGCGCTTTGAG